TACTTATACTACCCCCTCCCCAAAAAAACATATTAAATAATTTTGTCAGATAAGAAAACAGAAGGATAACACTTGGTCAAGACACTCAAAATGATGTTGTCAAAGTATATGTACTGCTATAAGAAATTTACAAGTGAAAAACATGTTCTAGATATAGTAGAGATGCATTTGTATAAAGAGAGAGCGAGAGAGAAAGAGAGAGAGAAAGAGAGAGAGAGAAAATTTTTAATATTTATTTTTTAGTTTTCAGTGGACACAACATCTTTGTTTGTATGTGGTGCTGAGGATCGAACTCGGGCCGCACGCATGCCAGGCGAGCATGCTACCACTTGAGCCACATCCGCAGCCCACATTTGTATATTTGTGACAAATTATCCATATGTATAATGTGACAAAAGATTAAGAAAAGTTATATCCTAAAATATGAACTATAGTTACTCTGAAGGTACGATTATGAATTATTTGTATTTCCTTCTTTTCTATCAGTATTTTGTGATATCTTCAACAGTTTACTTTTTTACATTAAAAATAGAAGGTAAGGGCTGGGTTGAGACTCAGTGATAGAGTGCTTTCTCAGCATACATAAGGCCCAAGTTCAGTCCCCATCACTAAAAATATTAAAAAAAAAAGGAATAAAGGAAACATTTTTAAAATAATTTTAAAGTATTACATAAGTTTCTACTTTCTCTTCTACTACTGAATTGGTGAATCTCAGAAAAAAGATCCCAGTAGTGTGACAATGACACCTGGTAGCACTGAAACATAGAATGCTCTTAAAAACAAGGCCTAGGAGAGGTGAAGGGAAAAAGGCCTATTTGCATTATCATAAGGCAATTTCTCTGTATCAGTTTCCCCCATTTATAAAATGGGATTCCTGCTAGTTATTGAACTGAGTTCATTATTTATGTAAAGCACTTAGTGCCTGGCATTCAGCAAGGTATTATTATTTATTATCAACTTATTTTACAAGTGAGGACCCTGAAGCACTAAAATCAGTTAAATCATTCACAAAGATATTGCTTTGGTTTTTGCTGTTGTTGTCTGCAGGTGGGGCTGGGGGAGAAAGAAAAGGGAGTAGAGGGAAGAAAGGGAAACAGACAGACACATATAAACTAGACTGAAATCCTGGGTCTCTTTTCCTAAGTTGCTAGTGTGATAAAAGACAAATGGAAGTGCTCAATAAATATTTCCTTCCTTCCTTCCTTCCCCAACACATTTGTATTTCTTCCTGTAGAGAAATAGGCCTGGTTTAGGGGTGAGGCTGTCGCTCAGTGGTAGCGTACTTGCCTGGCAAGTGTGAGGCACTGGGTTCAATTCTCAGCACCACATGTAAATAAATTAAATAAAGGTCTATCAACAACTAAAATATATATATTTAAAAATTTCTTTAAAAAGAAAAAAAGAAGAAATAGACCTGGTTTACATTTATTCTCACCCCTAGATCACCTTTTTTAAAACTTCCACTTACAAGTATTAATTTTAACTGTATTCTAACCAAGTAGTATTCACTAGGAAAGCACACCTTGGTCTCTTCCATGTCAACCGTTTTTGTGGAATCCCATCATTCAGAAAAGGCAATGCCAGAAACAAAGAGAATACTTAATATACTTTCTGAATGATTGCTAAAAAATTGATCTTAAATTTCCCTATATTGTATATGCATAACATGTCAAGAAAGGAAAACTTTTTTTAAGAGACTGGGTTCCAAATCAATGATTAGGTTAGCAATCTTAAATTGATCATTTTGTCTCTTTAGAAAAAAAAGGTAAATAGGCTATGCTACTGGTAGACCCTATCTAACTTCAAAATTCTACAGCTTCTTGTACAAACTGGAAAATGGACAATTCACAGGCAATTTCATGCCTCAACTATGTTTTCTTTGACAGAAACGTCCCATTTCCCCTTGCTCTCTTAGAGAACTTATTCACCTTCCACTAAATACCACCCATTTCTTCCATAAAACCTTTCTACAACCTAAACAGAACAAAACTGTTCCCAACACTTTGGGCCCCCTGATTATATTTTACATCAATATAGGTGATGACTTTGATATCTACTGTCTCTGTAGTCCCCACATCTTGCACAATGTCTGGCTTGCAGCAAATGCTGAGGATGTGTTTAAAGATTTAAATATACAAAGTTAAGTTAAATTCCTATGATGTTTTTGTATCCACCATCTGGGATTTTAGCTTAATTTGAAGATATACAAAGGCCAGTGTGCAGCAAAACCAAAGCTTTGCAGTGCACATACACATACGCAATGTAAACTTATCTTGAGCATTTGTACAAAAGCTACACAAAGGTATTAGTCTTGCAGATATCTGGGCACCCCTGAGAATTATTATCTTAAGCTACCATAACTCCCTACTTTAAAACCTCTTCACCCTGCTAAACTCTATTTCATAATCTTTATAATTTTCTTCCAACTATAATTACTATTGGTCACTTACCAGAATACAAGCTCCACTAAAACAGGGATTTTTGTCTGTCTTGTCACAATAACCAGTGTTGGCATCAGTACCTGACACAGTGAAAGCTCTTTTTTTAAATCAATAATTCTCTTATCTTACAGCCTTCAAGAGTTATGACTCATCTCCTCTATAACCCTATCTCTCACTGACCTATTTCCTCTGCTCTAGCCATTTATAGTAGCCTTCCCAATAATCTTCTAAGAACTGAAGGAAATTTTTTTAATATTTATTTTTTAGTTGTAGTTGGACACAATACCTTTATTTCACTTATTTATTTTTATGTGGTGCTGAGGATCAAACCCATGGTCTCACACGTGGGAAGCAAGTGCTCTATGGCTGAGCCCCAACCCCAGCCCCCCTGAAGGAAAAATTTTGTACTTAACTTTCTTTGCTATCTGTTGGTACAGAAATAATGTTCAGGAAACTATACCAAATAATAAACAAACAAACAAAACTTTGTTCTTTCACTTCCAATGAATTCACTTTGGATTTAAAACTACTAGTAGACAAAAGCAAAACTAAGATTAACAGATTATGTTGTTTTATTTTTTATTGTCAAGCACATGCGCTAAATACATTGAAATTACATTAGCTGCTACATGTGACCTGTCTGAAAATTTGTACCCCAAACAGAGCAAACCCTCTATGGTGTTATACATATATTATAGCAAGATTTTCTTTTTTTTTTTTAAAGAGAGAGAATTTTTAATATATATTTTTTAGTTTTCGGTGGTCACAACATCTTTGTTTGTATGTGGTGCTGAGGATCCAACCCTGGCCCCACGCATGCCAGGCAAGCGCGCCACCGCTTGAGCCACATCCCCAGCCCGCAAGATTTTCTTAAGTAGCTAATATCTTTCAGGAGAAATTAATGAACCCAACACATTTCTGAATCTATTCAATACCAAGTCATGTATATAAGTACAACATTATTGTATTTATATTCAGAAAATAGCACCACAACCTTCTCCATTCCCCAGTTTCAGCCAAATATGGCTCTTGCCTGCTTGGACAAATTTAGTCTATAAGTTCCCATAGGCAGCATACATGAACATTATCTACATTGCTATTTTGAATTCAGTTTTTGAATTTTTGAGAATAGAATATAGGCAATGTAAAATTACATTCAAGATGAGAATCTTCAAGCTGAGATATCTGGATATACTGATTAGAATTAAAATACAAAACAAAGAATAAAAGACATCCAGTACCCTGATCTAGCACTACCTCAATCTGACAAAATCAGAATCAACTTCTAGGATGAACCTCAGATCACTAGTTCAAATGTATCAGGCAGAATAATGCAAAACATGCCCCTTGTGCCTACTGGAAATAAGAGTAAGTCTGCTGGGCACTTAGCTTTCTATGGTAGCTCATTTTTGCTTAAACACCCTAAAACAGAATTAATTTTCTAAATGTAATCATATGAAAATAAGGGTGAATTAAGTACTTAGGATTCAGATACCAATGACTAAAAATTATGAGAAGTGAGGAGAAAAGAGTAACCTGAACAGAAAATATTCTTTAAAAGCTATTTTTGCCACAGCAGTAAAGGAGCGTATATGGTGGGTTTACAGCTTCCAAGTTTTTTATTAGTTTTTTAAACACGTGGATGAATCACAATAGTCTTCAAAGGAGTTATTCTTCAGGGTATAACCCTTGATTTTCGAGGACCTGAGGTTTGTCTGCTGCCTCCATAACCATATCTGACCATCCCATCTTTCTGCTTCTCCCTCCCCACCCCGATGCCCCATCCTCGCCCAAAACTCGTCTGGAATAAAAGATAAGTGATACAGTGACCAGCACTAATGTAACGCTAAAACTGGTGCATTAACAGATGATGTGCAAAACAACACCCTATTGGACCTAATCAACCCAGGGCACACTCTCGAGGCCCTATTTGGTGGTGGCCTAAACGACAAAACCTGTACTCGTTAGGGAAGGAGGAGAGGTGCCTCAGGGAAACAAGGGGCTATTCCAGATGGCCTTCCCATGTCCCCAAGCCGTCAGCAAGCAGCCTTGTTTCGGTGTTACCACCACAGGACTTGTCATCCCGACTTCCCACCCCTAAGATCTAAGAGAAAAGTTAAAAGGGTCCTGGTGAAGGGGAAAAGAACGATCCATCTTCTATGCTTGAGACCCAGAAAAGAGCCGTGGGCAGCAGAAACCGGGAGAGGCAACCCAGCATGCGTGGGACACCTGTCATGCGGGAAAGTAGGAGGCATCTAGGAAGAGCGTGCAAAGCAACCGAGGAATAACAGCGAAGGCAGAGATTGGGATGACAGGGAAATCCGGACGCAGACACGGGGGAAAGAGGCTCCTTAGGGCCAGAGGGCCCTGGCACGCCGGAGGTGGCGGAGTGGCGGCAGTCAGGCAGTCCGCGGAGCCCGGCTCGGCGGGAACGCCCGGGCCGGGCGGGCGCTGGGCCAGGCCGACCCAACCCGGCTGGGCCGAGCGCGGGTGGCGGCTGGGGGCCCGCGGCCCAGGTCGCGCCGGAACAAAGCGGGCGCACAAGGCCTGGCTACTTACAACAAGAAGCTCATGTTGGCCGCGGCGTGAGCTTCGGGCTCGGCGGTCGCGAGGCCTCGCGGAGGTGGCGGCCCCAAAAAAGGGAAAAAAGAAGAAAAGAAAAAGGCGAGAGGAAGACGAGGCGAGAAAGAGAAGGGGAGTGCCAGCAGTTCGGCGGTCGCAACTTGCTCAGCTTTGCTAGTTCCAATGGCAGGCAGAGGGGGCGGAAGTGGGAAGCGCACGGCTTGAATCACTCAATGGGAGGGGAAGAAAAGGGAGGCGGGGAAAGGGCCGCCAGCCGGCTCCTCGGAAAACCGTAGCGGAGCAGCTGCCCCAAGTCCTCCCCAGCCCCCCGCCGCCCCAACCCCGCGAGCTCTCGCGAGAGCGGCGGCGCCCACCTCCCCCGCGGGAGCTGCGGTCCGCCGTCCCTCACCTTCTGGTCACCTTTACAACCCAGGCCACTTGCGGCCCCTGGGTTCTCCTGTCAGCTGGGTTAAGGGTCGGGGCATAATGCTCGGAGCCTCTCAGCTGCCCTTCAGCAGTCAGGGAGGAAGTGGGCTTCGACTCCAGGATGTCAGGGTCCTGTAGTGAGTGATGAGATTACCACCAGAGATTTTTTTTTTTTCCAAAGTGAGTGCCCAACAAAAGACAAAAAGTAATGGAATTGCTTGAGCTGGTGTTTAAAAATAGGAGGAAGTTTCGCCAGGTTGGAATGGTTTGGGTGTGGTCCTGCCAAAATAGAAGAAAGGGACTAAGTGGATTTTCAAGGTATCTGTTTTGTTTTGTTCTTTAGATATTGATGGACCTTTATTTTATTCATTTATTTATATGCAGTGCTGAGAATTGAACCCAGTGCCTCACACTTGCTAGGCAAGTGCTCTACTACTGAGCTACAACCTATATGCATATTCAGTGCTGACAATTAAACCCAGTGCCTCACACTTGCTAGGCAAGTGCTTTATTACTGAGCTACAACACAGCCCCGGTGTCTGTTATTTTTATAGGCACATTTTAAAACACTGAATCAGGAGGAAATTAGGGTAAGTCACTTACTAGGCAAGCTAGGCTGTCTTGAGCAGCTGGGGAAACTGAGATAGCCAAGGAGAGCTGAGGTCAGTCCATCTTTAACTCCAGCCTGGTAGCCTAGTCATCAGTGGCCACACTGATTAATTAATGGAGCCCATTATAAGCAGTGATACACAAAACTTCCTAGAAGGTAGAAATGATTCAATCCTACTTATAGAGGGACTTTCAGTCTCACATAATTAAGGAGCCCAGAACAAGGATTTATATTCTATTGGTATGATAAGTTATGTTATTTTATTAAACAAAAAAAATGTTGGAATCTACTCCTATTTCTGGAATAGCCTGCTATTCACTGGGATAATTCGAGAAGATTTATAGGCTCAAAATAAAACAGGAGGTCGAGCACGGTGGCACACACCTGTACTCCCAGCAGCTTTTAAATAAAATATAAAATAGATTCGAGGATGTGGCTCAGTGGTCAAGTGCTCCTGAGTTCAAACCCCGGTACACCCCCACCCTTCTCAAAAAATAGATGAAGCAAACGTCTGTTTCATATTTATTTCTTTTCCCAGAATAGAATTTAAATCCCATCAAGCCTCTAGATCCCATTTACCAATTTACAGGAAATACAGGGGAAAAAGAACATAGTAAAAAGCGTATTGCAATTATGCCTCTCGGATGCAGTCAGCAAAATCTAAACTGTAGGGATATTATACAGAACCTAATTCCTTCAACAAATAAATTGCAAAAAGAAAAATGGAGCTGAAGAAATAACTGTTATTCAGCTTTCCATTACTTTGACAATAACTGATAATCAACTAAAAAAGAAGTAAGGATTATTTTGACTCAGGATTTCAGAGGTTTCAGTCCAAGGTCACTTGGTTGGAATGCCTTTGGGTCTGTGGCAAATAGTACATCATAGGAAGCATGTGATAGAGCACGATGCTTACCTCATGGCAGCCAGAAATCAAAGAGAGAAACAGGAAGAAACTGGAGTCCTATCATACCCTTCAAGAGCATGCTCCTGAAGACCTAACTCCCTCCCACTGGGCCTCCTGAAGGTTCCACCACCTCCCAGTAACATGAAGCTGAGGGCCAAGCCTTTAACATGTGGGCCTTTGGGAGATATTCCAGATCCAAACTATAGCAGAAACTTAGAGATCAAAAGAAATGTAAGGAAAAAAAAATCAGCAAATTGATACATGTAGACTCATTTGCATCCTGATTCAAATAAGCAATGTGAAAAACAGCATTAACAAATGTTTGTTTGTCATTTATGAGACGTTTGAAATGTGGACACTGGATATTTTTGTGGTAATGATGCTGTAGTTATGATTTTTGAGCCCTTGTCTTTTAGAAATATGTACTAAAATATTTACCGACGAAGTAAAATGGCAAGAATTTACTACAGAATAATATGAAATGGGAAAATGAGAATATAGATGAAATAAGATGAGTTGATAACTGTTGAAGGCAAATAATCAGTAATTGGCATCATTATGTGATGTTGTATACTTTTGTTTAGTTTTTAAATTTTCAAAAAGAAAAACAATAGGCACTTTTCTGGGGAAAAAAAGTTTGTTAATTATTGGAAATTTAAAATGTGTTGAAAATGAAGAAAAATTTTTATACACTAGACTTTCTTTGCTCTCACATTACCCAGCTTTTTTTCTGTTTATAGGTAAAGATAGTCATTCACCCATAGAACTAAAAGCAGCCAGGCCTGGTGGCACACACCTGAGGCAGGAGGATTGCAAGTTTGAGGCCAGACTCTACAACTTAGCAAAACCCTGTCTCAAAAAATATTTTTTAAAGTGGGCAGGGGCTGGATACGGTGGCGCAGCGTGAGATCCCAGCAGCTCAGAAGGCTGAGGCAGGAGGAGGTTCAAAACCAGCTTCAATAAAAGTAAGGTGCTAAGCAACTCAGTGAGACTCTTCTCTAAATAAAATACAAAAGCGGGCTGGAGAAGTGACTCAGTATTTGAGTACCCCTAAGTTCAATCCCCAGTACTTCCCTTCCCTGCAAAAATGTGGGCAGGGTGGAGTCTAGGGATGTAGCTCAGAGGCAGAGTACCCATGGATAACCAAATAAATAAATAAATAAACCAAAAGCAAATACTATTAATGTCAGAGGGAAGAAATTCTCATTCCAATCCTGCAAATAAATCCACCTCAGAAGTTCTTAAGAAGCTGTTCTCTTCTGATTTAGAAATGTGATCTGACCCTGGTAGAACAGACACCTGAACAACAATACTGGAAAAGTTATACCTGGGTGGCAAATCCTGGGTAACCTGATGAAATGCATTATACTATACAGGAATGTTTTGATTGCATAATTTAGATTGATGTGGTAATTATTTCATCTGAGTTCATTACATAAGACTGTTTTTTCCCAGCTACCATTTATGGACTATTTCTATGGGCCAATAACCTTTAGAACTTGTATATTTTGTCTCAATTTTTTATTTCTTATATTATCCTATGAAGTTGATATTAGGTGTTGTTTTGCCTGTTTTATAGATAAGGAAAGTGGTGCTGAGAGATTATATAACTTGTTCAAGATCAATAAAGTTACTAATAAGTACAATCAGAATTTAGTGAACACCATTTCCCTTCTGTCTCCCTATTATATATTATAATGAATATATTTGAAATGATTTTTGGAATGCTACCCAATCTCACTTCATATAAATAAGAAATTCAACCTGATCCCTATCAATGCTGTTTAGATTTAATTCTTTATCTTTTTTCATCAAAGACAAACCAATGTCAATTAAAAATGCTTCTCAGGGCTGGGGATGTGGCTCAAGCGGTAGCGCGCTCGCCTGGCATGCATGCGGCCCGGGTTCGATCCTCAGCACCACATACCAACAAAGATGTTGTGTCCGCCAAGAACTAAAAAATAAATATTTAAAAAATTCAAAAAAAAATGCTTCTCAAACTGGGCACAGTGGTACATACCTGTAATCCTAGCTACTAGGGAGAATGAAGCAGGAGAATCACAAGTTTGAGGCCAACCTGAGCAACTTAAGCAAGACTCTGTCTCAAAATAAAATTTTAAAAAGGGCTGGGAATGTAGCTCTGTGCAGGGATTCTTGGGTTCAATTCTTAGGACAGGAGAAGGGGAGTATGCTTCTCAAGGATGGATTGATTTGTCTCAGAAAATAAGGAAATCACAAAAGTTTGATTCATGAAACTTGGTCTATCAGTGCATTTCTTTGTCACTAAAACCCATAAACCATCAGAACAAAAAACTTCTTAAAGTAATTCTTTGTTTAAAATGGAAGAAAGAACCTTCCATTGACCACAAAGCTAACCGAATACCCTCTCCATTCTAGCTATTTGTTCTTCGAAGATGGGTTTTGTGCAATAGAATGGCTAGATTTTAGGGAATGATAAAGACACAGACCGTTTGTTTATCCACTCAATGTGCATCTGTTGAGTGTTTACTATGGGTCTCTGTGGAAAAAAGGGGAGGCTGGGATGTGGGGGGCATAGTCCTTGTCTCATAAATCCTATGTATATCATTGGGAAATACAGGTAATCAAATAAATAAAAGCAAAATTCGAAATTGTCTAAGTATTATTGAGGAAAAGGTCCACGTTGTATGTTAGTATATATTATAGGGACTTCACCTATTTTGGGGATAAGAATAGCATAGACACTGATTTTTTTTCTTTTAGTAGGGGGAGCCACACTTTAAGAACTTTTTAGAAAGTTCTACTTTCTGTATAATTGTGAGGATCTTAGTCCATAGGGCAAAAATTATAAAAGGCTTCTTGCATGGACCTTGCACTTATTCACTAAATATTGAATTACATTTTTTGATCTTTCAAGTTTTATATTGCCCACAATGAATTGTTTTCTCTGCTAATTTAAAATCACCTAGCAACTTGTATAGTAGCTAGTAAGTTGCATGGGAGAAAGAAGGAGGGTCCTTTTTGAGCCTATTCAAAGCTGCTTTTCTCAAATTGATAGGACATTGCCAAGGTCAGAAAGTCTAAAATTAACTCTACCAGCTGTGTTTTGGTTTGCTTCATATAGTTCATGGGCTCAGGGGGTTCAATCTGCTGGGCTTGCTTGCTGCTTCAAACCTCTGTGCTCTTAAAAAGTTTGTTTGCTTGGAGTGCATGTTGTGCACAAGACACGGTAACTAAGCAGCTTGAAAGTATATGGAAACTAAACAAATAAGTCTGTTCTTGAATCTCATAAAAGTCTAGCAACAATGTAGGGGGATGAAGGAGTCACTGCTGAGTTTGTCAGATGAGCAGCTTAACTTTTAACCTTGCTGAAGTTTCCCAGAGAGCAGGCTGCTGAT